AAATCACTTGCAATGCTTCGATTAACATAATTTATTGTGATCAGGTTTCATTATAGAAGGAATATCGGGAAAGAAAAATAAATTCGATCACTGCTCGATATCCGATTAAATACTGATTCAATTGCATGAATTTAAATATATTTAGTATGATTAAATAGATTTAATTAGATTTCAATAGTTTAAATACATTAAATAATTTATATACCTTGGTAGTTGATTGATAGAAGAGAGTTGCCAGAATTATTATATTATCTATATTATCTTATATCCTATATTATCTTACTCCTGCTACTACTACTACTACTATTATTATTACTACTACTACTACTACTACTACTACTACTACTACTACTACTACTACTACTACTACTACTACTACTACTACTACTACGATGATGATGATGATGATGATGATGATGATTAGAATGGTTGTAGATTTCTGCTACTGTTTTGTGGATATATAGGCTACTAAAGTGGATTTTTGCTACTAAATGTGGATTCTTGCTACTATTGTGGATTTCTACTACTAAATGTGGATTTCTGCTACTCGCTTTTCCTTGAATCTCATTGGTTAGCCAAATAATTGGTTGCTAAGAGACCTGTTTGTTTGAACAAGTGGTTTCTTTCAACAAATACAAGGAATTTTCTAACACAGAGATTCTTAAGCTTCTGCTTTCTACTAAAATGTTCATATCTGAAAATAAATGCAAAATTTTTAATTTATTATTTAATTTTAAATGCTTGAAACATTTTGCAGTATGCAATCCTTTAATTTGAATGATTCCACTGTTCATTGCTGAAAATAGGACATAATCCGAATAAATTACTTGAATAGAATAGTGAAATGTAATAGTAGGCCCTATACCTAAATTAAAACGAAAACCAGAAGCAAAGAACATAAGTAATGTAATACAACGATATAATATAATAAAGAGAGAGAGAGCGCGCGAGACATGTAGGCATGCATGTAGGTAGGTAGGTAGGTAGGTAGGTAGGTAGGTAGGTAGGTATAGGTACGTACGTACGTGTGTATGTATGTACGTACGTACGTACGCACGTGGGTGTGTGTGCACGTGCGAGCGAACGTGCCTGCGCACGTGCGTGAGTGCGTGTGTGCGTGTATATGCGCGTACGTATGCGCATCCATACACACGCTCAGGGCACACGATTCGCATCGATTTTATTTGATCTAAATGTTCTGTCATTGCGTGCCGATGAAGTGACGCTCGTTTGCAATACTTTTGATAGCCGGCAGTCCGCATGCGCAGTGTGGTTTCTATCCTGTCGACGTAGCGTGAGTAACAGCCGCGGCAGCAGCAGACCACACGCAGTTCTTTTCCTTTCGTGGCGAATTCGCGTTGAGTAGCGCTCACGCAGCAGATTCGCACATTCATCCAGCCACGAGATGCTGCTGCGAAGCCAGGCCAGTACTGCGTGATGCTGCAGGCGCTCCAGTGTGTGAGCAGAGTGAATGCAGCGAACGGTGGTCTTTACAATGCGTCGTCATTACCATGCGTGTGCATTAGTCGTTCGTGACATTTTTTGCGGCACGTCTGTGGCGTTCGTGTAATGGTACGTTGCGTGCCTTCATGTGTAATATGCTCGCACGGTGACACAGCAGAATGACGAATCGGTCGACTCTGGACTCCGAAAGCATGGGGGAAACGTGGGATTTAGTAGCGATGGCGCCAAAAGTAGCGTCGCTAGCACTACTCGTCTTTCTCGCAATAACATCAAACGCCGGCATCCTCATCTCGCTGCGTGGTAGCTTCATCGATAAAAACAGCTTGAAGGAAAAAATGATTCAGTTGCTATGCGTCACGAATCTTCTATACAGCATCTCCGTTACTAGTCTTCAGATTCCGAGCATTATCGTTGGTGAGTTGCTGCTCTATGGAGAATTAACGAGATATTGAGAGAGATGTAAGAACGACAGAAATTAAGGCTGCAGAGAAGAGAGAAGCGAAGTAAATGAATAAATGAGCGAGTAAGTGAGTGAGTGAGTGAGTGAGTGAGTGAGTGAGTGAGTGAGTGAGTGAGTGAGTGAGTGAGTGAGTGAGTGAGTGAGTAAATATATAACGCATTGGATGGCAGACACACTCTCCTCAGCCGCCCGGCTTTGAGTGATAACACAAGTGTAATAACACATGAGTGTCTTCAATTTCAACTGAAACCGTGTATCTTATAAGTATCTATAAAGTATAGACATGGCTGAACCTTCTATGAGAGCGCGCAGGTACGGGCAAATCTGTGATAATCAGATATCACAGGGGAAATAAATACATAACGCACGAAGAGGCGAATGTAGAACGAAGATAATGATAGAGAATATGAGTGCGGTCGAAGGAAAAGTCTCACGTGCTTACACTTAGCTGACCATTAGATGTGACAGGAAGTTGATGAGGAAGTATACGCGAGATGTGTATTTCCACGATTATGTGCGCGCCTTCTATTGATAGCGAGTAGCTGAGCACGAGGCCTGAACACAATTATGCGCTTATTATGTCGATTTTTCCTGTAACGTACATGCAAATTCCACTGGCGCGGTGTTCACTAACCCGACCGCAACTATATCACAGGCACTTGGAGCGTTTCAGTAAAATATAATGCTAAATAAATACGAAATCTATTTACTATCAAAGTCTTAATTTTTCTCTACTCCCTTTCGCCTATTATTGCCGACAATTTCCTGTAAATTGTAAAAGTAGAGTCTATATTTATGTGTCAGTGTGCGGCAGCGTGCGTGCGGTGGACATGTGTGTTGCAGAGGAGGCATTTGCACGGAATTTACAGGAAATTGTCGGCAATAATAGGCGAAACAGAGTAGAGAAGAATTAAGACTTTGGTAGTACTTAGATTTAGTATTTATTTAGCATTATATTTTATTGAAACGCTCCAAGTGGCTGTGGCAACTATAGTTTCTTTTATTCGCTTTCACATAATAACGTGCTCACCTGACTGGATATATATCCCGCGGCGTGAACCACTTGCTCCTCGGGCTCCGATTCGGTTGGCCGCCTATAACACGGCAGAATATCTGCGCATGCTCGAACGACGGGTCGCTGGCAAATATCGCCAAATCGTTTGCGAGGTCGCTCACGTTTAAGTGGAAATCATCGTCGACCTTTACGACGTACTTCGCGCCGGCACAGTAACGCAGCGAGTAGCGTAGCCCTGCTACATGCTTATACGTCATGTTCCTATAGTGCTCAACATGCGCGCTGCGGACAATGTCTCCGTAGGCGTCCGCCTCACGGTCTGTGTCCCGCCGCACTCCCGCGTCGAGATCGGTCGCCAGGTTAAAGAAGACCTCGGCATTGAACGCAGAAAGATTCTCCTTCGACGCCCACGTGCGTCGAATCAGATCGCGATGGCGGCCATGATCAGCCTTTGAGTGAACGTCGAACAGAATGCTCGGGCGGCTACGGTGGCGGCACGCTGAGCTAGCGAGGGTCAGCTGCCAGCCGGGGTCCGTGCTTTGCGCGCGCGGCAACGTCCTGTCTGGTGTCCAGTAGAATTCAGGGCGCAATACTACCTTCGTGCCATCCTCGCATATAATCGCGCTCTCGGTTCGGTTGCACGGAGTCTTCCTGCGCGTCGTGTCTCGATCTCCCACGGATGCCTTCCTACCGCCGACACGCTGCGGCGCGACGCGGTGGGGAAGCGACACCTGTCGGCGATCTTTCACGAGTTGTCGTCTGTCGTGATTATTACTAACAGTTGACGCATTTGCCCCGTTTAGGCTTCGGGTGATCGCAGAGACGTGGCGCGGCTCTGCACTGTCGCCTTTGTCATGCACCGCTGTTGCTTCGTTCATTAGCGTCGTGAGGAAAAACATCGCAGCGGCTCCGAGCACGAGGAAGTAGATGTTTGTGCGGCTCGTGTTCAGCATCATCGCACGCATGGGGATAAAAGCCGTCAGCTGCATTCTCTGCGCTCACGACGCTGCTAATAGCAGGAAATGTTAGCGTGCACTCCCGGCGCGATGCCGCAGAGTCGCAAGCCTCCTGTTTGGCCGACTATATATTGTCACCATATCGACGCACTAAAATAGTGGCTGGTTGTCATAGTCGAAGATTGTCATCTATTGCGCCTCTGTCATCTAGGAATGATATTTGGACGTGTTTAATCGCGTCGCGACACTACTTGCACACACCAGTCCCGCTATTGTATATGCCTGTAATCCAGCGTCACGCTCCGATGCGCTGATAGTAATACTTATTGTTGGCCGATTATCTCCTGTTGACCCAGTCTTCGAACGTCCGTGTCGCGCCAGTTGAGTCCAGCTAGCCTGATAATGAATCGATTTAACGCTGTGACTAGCACTCGATCACTGTGATCAGAAACGGTGACCCACGGGCTATACATCTATGCACATGCTTTAAATGTCCCTGGGGGAAAAAGCATAGTACGTAGTAGCTCTAGTACTATAGCCCGCGTACAGTTGCCGCAGGTGTACTAGAGCTAAGTACGTAGGTAGGGATCACTCTTGATTTATCATAATCATTTAGTTGTATCGTTTAACCTGCTGTTATATATACGCGTGTGTGTGTGTGTGTGTGTGTGTGTGTGTGTGTGTGTGTGTGTGTGTGTGTGTGTGTGTGCGTGTGCGTGTGCGTGTGCGTGTGCGTGTGCGTGTGTGTGTGTGTTGTGTGTGTGTGTGTGCTATGTGTGTGTGTGTGTGTGTGTGTGTGTGTGTGTGTGTGTGTGTGTGTGTGTGTGTGTGTGTGTCGTGTGTGTGTGTGTGTCGTGTGTGTGTGTGCGGTGTCGTCGTCGTCGTCGTGTGTGTGTGTGTAGT